GACTGGCCGGATGGTCTAATTTTACCGATTAAAAGATATGCTCTGAGCTCGTTAGCACCCGGCCGGATCACATGGGCTTGAGGCTGTTCGTAGCTTAATCACTGGGATTGAGAGTAGAGATCTCCGGGGACGGACCCCTCGCCAAACGCGGCTGCTCAGTCAATGGTAATTTTACGCAAAGAAAAGTGATCCGGCCGGTATTCGAACTCGTGCGGGTATCCCCCCCCCGGCACTCGTGTTGTGACCTAGCAGACTACTACACGTGCGGTGGACCAACCAAACGACAGCATACAATAGTAGACTGCTGTGTGACTACATGTACAGTAGCGTACAACGGCTCGCACGTACAACCACGCATCATAGGCACACACATTCACAGGTACTGCTGCTGCTGGTGCACACGTTTGTATCTTACAGAGCTGTGTGCTTCCGTTAGGAACCGCAGAGCAGCGTCGATCTACCCTCTCCTCCACCCATGGGCATCAACAGGTACAACCACACAACATAGGCGCACACGTTACAGAAGGCATCGTTATCACACTCTGCACGTATCTCTCTCTGTCTCTCTTTGTGCTCGAACCCACCTAACCATCCTCTCTCGACTGCTGAAAATTGCTGGCAAGTTCCTGCTGGGGCACGGAACACCTGCATACCCTGTATCTACAAATTCTTAAACCAGGGGGGGGGGGGGGGGGGCCCGACACCCCCCGACATATATCTCGTTCCCCGCCCCCCTTCTTTGTGCCCTGGGCTGCGGGAGGCGCGTCCCCGGAAAACCAAAACGCCAAACTACTTCACACCACACAGCAGGCACAGCACTTGCATTGCATAGAAGCACAGCAGGCAACCCATCTGTTGCTGCTGGGCTGCATGTCTGCTACTGTAACCAACGTAAACGGTTGCCATGCCATGAGCTATAGCAGTACCACGGGGTATGTATTACGTTCGTAGCAGCTCTCTACTGTTGCTGTGCTTCTTCTCGGTTACGAACCGCAGTAGAGCATCAGCGTCGATGTACAACCCTCTCCTCCAAGCGTGTGCATCAACAGGTACAACCACACATCATGCGCGCACGCATAACATACATACTGAATCGTCATCACAGCAGTTGCTGCACGTCTCTCTTGGCTCGTACTCTCTGCTCCACTGCTGTCTCTCTGTCTCGTGCTCGAATTCACCACGCTGACTCTCAAACTGCTGCTGTGGGGCACGGGACAACTGCATACCCCTAACAATTACATAATGTTCATCACTCGTATTGCGACCCAGCAGACATCGCGTGCGGTGGACCAAGCATACTACGCGTGTGGTGAACCCAGGAAAGCACGCTGGGGGGGGTTCGGGGGGGGGTTACCTATTCCTCGTGTTACCAGACGATGTCTTGCAGGACAGACAGAGAGTTAGCAAGAGATTTCCTCAAGGAGGCGTTCCAACCGCCCATTGATGCCATCAACGCTCTATATGCGACAAAAGGCACCGGCCACTGTTACGGTTAACGTGAGGGGTAGGGGAGTTGCGTACGCTACACTGTGGGACGAAAGACGGTTATACAACGCCCCAGACGGGTGGGCGGGTGTGTGGCCTGGAGTTCTGTACAACGGTTTGGGTGGGGCAATGCATGTCGAGGGGGAGTATGCACTCGCTGAGCGGCCGAACTATTAATCATGTTGTGCAATATAGCCAAGTGGCTACGAACGAAGAGAAGAGAGGCACACCGGTGTGTGACGAAGCACATAAAGAACTCCTCGAGAGGGGGAACATGACGCTGCTGCGCATGAACTGCCTTTGAGTACATGCGAGCAATACGGCACTCCTGTGACGCTCACTGCACGACGCTCGAATCCCCGTCAAGTGCCTTCGAGCGAATCGAGTCACGCGGCACTGTGACCGCACACTGCACCGCGCCCGAAACTCCGTGAAGTGCCTTCGAGCGAAGAGAGTCACACGGCACTGTGACCGCACACTGCACCGCGCCCGAAACCCCGTGAAGTGTCATCGAGCGAATCGAGTTACGATGCCACTATGTCTTACTCCAAAACCATTACACCAACAACACACCAAACCAGGCTATGAATTTTATGACCTGGGCATAGACGTCGGGTTGGCCCGATAATAAGTGCTACCTAGTGAGTCCGAGAGGAAGTCAATGGTTCGGCTCATAAATTTAGGTTGGATTTTGTTTACTCCTGTAGACTAGTGCTGTACCTCACCTCACTGTCCACCATAAAAGAGGCCGTCCGTGGTACGTCTGCTGAAGTCAGGTGAACCAACGATGGGTTCTGCGCGTACAATAGCAGGACAGAGTTTCGGGATATACGAGTAATTGAAGCACGCTGCTGAATCAAATGGCAACATGTATATTTGTTTCGTTTGCCAAGGCCGTGGCCCTGCATGCTGCTGCTCCTGCATGCAATTTAACGCGATACAACTGGTTCGCTGAGTGCATGATGACGTTGACGTACTCGAGGCCTTCGGTCAAATGATAACGATCCTTGACATCCCCCCGAGACTTCAGGTACTTGGCGTGAGACTGGGGAGTAAAAGGCCTCGCTACCTTTGAAGCGCCTCCTTCATACATTATTGTAGGTCACGCAGAGTTGCGCGGTGAGAGGCGACGGAGGTAGGTGTCGATCGTTACTGCCGCTGTGCCTTGCTGTCTTGCTGTGCCGTAGATCTACATGTACAGCAAAACGAGGAGTTTGGCTTCGCATCACTCATGCAACCTGTTGCTCTCAATTGGGCTGTGTTCGACAAACCTTGTTGAGTTGCATCATGTGCCATTCTTCGTTCGTCCGCCTTTCAACGCAGAAAGGGTTGTCGTCGAGATCAACCAGGGGAACCCGTGTGCGTTGCCGATCTTTCCATGTCATGGCCAGCCTGGCGGCGTTTTGTCCCTCCAGAGAGCGACCGGCGGCAATTCCCACCATGACGAACGAAGCTTCTTCGAGAAACCTACACGCCTAAAGCTTCACGACTTCCGCTATAACACCTGCAAGTCTCGCACGGTCAGCACACGAAGACGGAGGAGTCGCATTGAACGCGCAGCCCGCAGAAAGAAGAAACGCCGTTTCCGTATCCGAACCGCGAGCCGCCGAACCGTAACATGACGTCCCCACGGGTTCGCATCTGCAGTGCCCCCTCGGTGCGTTTGCACGCGGCGATGCCAACATTTCCCAAATTCTACACTTCGTGCGCTCGCTGTGCGCACATGCCCCGCGTTGAAGAGGTTGATCGTGCTGGGGATCACGACAGAAGCGTTTCGTTCTGCTGCGCTGCTGATGCCGAACGAGAAGCAGAGTTGGTGTCCTGTCCTGAAACAAAGCTGAAAAGTTTTGTGCGCAAGAACGCGAGAACAGACCGCAGACCGCTGCGCTTCGAGCTGCATCCAACTCTCTTTACATAGGCAACAAAGAAAGCTACAGTACATAGGCGCACAAGCCGCCGACATTTGAGAAGTGCTGGATGAAGTCGTTCCGAGCATGGCGCCAAGAGAGCCAATGGCAGCTGGACGAAGATGGCAGCGAGTGTGATGTTCCAGAAGGAGGCAGTAGTGGGCACGTGTCGCGCGAGGCAGCAGGAGGAGGTATGCGCCGTGGAGACACTTTGCGGAGCATCACCATGCCCACGTCGGATGACCGCGAGCTAAGCGGCGGCCGGGTCGTCAACGAGGAGGCTATCTACAACATGCGCAAGAGATGGATCAGTGACCGCTTGATGGAGAGGTGAGGCGCCGTGTCCTTGCCACAGCAGCTGCTGCCTCTGCCTTTGACTTTCGCGAAACGTTTTCACCAACCATTAGACTGTTGCATCGCCCCGAGATATGCTATGCATTACAGCAGTGTCAGTTTCCTAAACTGGGCTTGGCGGTTGAACCTTTATGGAGCCGTAGGCATCGAGAGAACGAGCACCAGTAATCAGTACAGTCCTGCTGTAGGCACCGCTTGACGAGAGCAGGTAGAACGATGACTGCCCTCCTCTACGGCTTGTATATCGCATAGATATAGTCGTGCTTCATATCGGGCGTGTTGGCTTCGCCGTTTCTAATCTCGTTAGGTCAGTGCCTCTTGTGTTGTTTAAAAGTCAACCTTAGAAATTCTTCAAAAGGTACGTTTTTGAGACGGATATCTCATCACTCCGCATACACGAGCGGGCACTGCTGTCTGGTTGGCGCCGTGGTATCGGTTTGTTCTCAGAACAAACGCCGTCATCTTGCCGCAAGTCAAACCTGCCGGGTCCACCTTGAGAGATGCGGTACAGCAGTCGCGGGGGCACCCTCATTACTTACTTTAGGCAGCAGTATCTGCTTTGGAAGACGCGGCACTGCAGGTTACGTGTGTATTTCACGCGCGGCCCGTCGAATTCGCAACGCGCTGAGCTGAACGCGCTCGGGTATTACTCCGATCGGTCAGTTCCTCGCTTGTAATGCCTTCCACAGCACAAACTAAGTTTTTCGCGGCACGCTCATTCGTACAGCAATCCGCACCCTCTACCTGTCGCAGGGAGGGCAACTTCTGCCGATACCCGTCCGTGACAGTGTTTTGCGGCACGTACAACGTGGCTGGAAAGAAGTCCGAGGGCGAAGATCTGGGACCCTGGCTTAAGCAGTGCACAGGGGAACCTGACATCTACGCTCTGGGGTGAGTTCAATACGGTGTAGTGACTTGTTGACTTTTTGTTGTTGAGGATGTATAGGCTGAGTCGAGCGGTATCAACCCAGAGATTTTTTCGCTTTGCGTATGTATGCAGAAGAGAGCAAGGCGAGGCGGGCACACGACAGCCTTTTCCCGCCGACATGGATACGCATGCAGTAGTGAACCGGTATTCTATCCGAGGAGCCTTCAGGGTCTCCAGCCTTCTTGCGGTATTTCCTAGCCTTTGCCAGGACTCCTTCAAGAGGCGCTGCCTGCGTGGATGTGTACGATGGTTTACTGCTGCGGGGATCCGTATTCTACCGTGTTGTCCAATCCTTCAATTTGTTGTGTTTGTTGCGCTTGTCTTATCTACGATTTTTCTGTGTCCCGTTCTCTTCTCGCCTGCGGTTGGTCAGGTTCCAGGAAATCGTGGACTTGAACGCCGTCAACGTGGCGGTTTCGGATAGCAAGAGCCAACAGGTACAGCAGCAAGCATCACGGCCTACCTTCTTGCTGATGGCGTCATCCCGACGCCTCTACTGTATATTTCCCTGTATTTCGTTTCCTTTCGAGTGGCTACATACTTGTTGTGTAGGAGAGCTTGTACGAAGCGGTTGATTAATTATTTTCGTGATGAAGACATAGAGCGCTATTTTGCGCTCGCTGTTGGACTTGGACGGCCGAAAAGGTAAAGGAACGGGCTGACTCTATTCCGAGATGATACTACTGTTCCGATCGAGTGCAGCACGAACAACAGTGTAATAGGGTGGTAATAATCACGGCAAGCACGGAAGAACGAAGGCGGAGAGTACAACCCCTGTGTGACACCTGGCTGCCTCCAGAATTGAACCGAAAAGGCGTAACGGCCGATGCCCAGATCAAAAATAATTATTGCCAGAAGATAATATAAGCACCCGAAGCGTGCCAGGGCACGTGCTGGCGAATTGCAACAGCAGTCTCGAACGATCATCTACCAAATGTTGATGTGATGTTGCTGTTCGGGCAGCAGCTGTCACAAGCTAAATCTAGCCTGCTCTTCATCGTTGTCGTTGGGAATGGAGCGTGATCGAGTGTGATGGGGTGGGGCTGCTCGGCCCCCCCAAAGTATGGTATTGATTACTCAAACGAATGCACTATCGTGGTGCTCGTGTTTTGCAGCGTGCGGCGATATGGCGGCAAGAGCTGGAGAACTTCCTCTCGACCAAGAGGAGCCGGTACAACCTAGTCGAGCACCGCAGCCTGGTCGGCATCGTCCTGTTCGTGTACGTGAGAGAAAACCACATCCAAGATGGGGCCGTCAAAGACGTCCAGGTGACGTTTTCTTGTCAACTGCTGTTGTCGTTACACTTGTCTCCGCTTGAAAAGCGTTTCAGCCTTGCCATATATATATCCAGCGTCTGTTTCGCATTTTTTGTTTTGGTCAGCTCATCGAAGAACATTTTCCCCATGACAAGGTTATTTTGGATAATGGGGCTTTTTTGTTCGTCACCGAGTTTTTCTCAGTCGTTCTTAGGTTAGATTCTGCCTACCGTACGTCCTCGCCTTTTTCGCTGAAAGGCTCCGTTTCGTGTGATACAGATAGGCTAGTTCCTCTGTGGCTCTAGGAAATGCGCTGTTCCTTGCCGCATCGACGACGGTTGCGTGCGTTTCCAGCAGCATTCGCTTATTTTTGGACTACTGTTAGTCGGTACAACTTCCGTGTTCTTGCAGTGATCTCTCCACATTGCATACCACCGCTTCCGCCGTCTATTTGGTTCTAGCCGCCCCCTCTTTTATTTTTTTCGGTTTTTGCTAACCCTCTGCTGTGCTCAATCTCAAAACGCATGTGAACATGTTTGTTGTACTCCTGTTGTTTTGGAACTCTAACCCTCACCCTAGCCCTTCTTGTTGTTACCGTACGATGCAGGCAACGACGGCAAGGGTAGGCATGATGGGGGTCATGGGTAACAAGGGGGCGGTGGTGGTGCGGCTCTCGCTGTACGACAGCACGCTCTGCTTCGTGTGCGCGCACATGGCCGCGAAGAGGGCTAACGTTCAAGGCAGAAACGCCGACTTCTGGAGCATCTTGAATAAGACGGCTTTCGTGGGGGACCCAGAAACGGCTTGGTGGGTATGATTGACTGCGTGCTGGATGGTCTCCATGGTTATTTTTTAGGTTGGAATTCGACCCTCGTTGAGATACGTGCTCCCGTTTCCAGTCTTCTTGATTTGAAGGTCGACCCTTAATTTGCCAGATGGTCCCCTTCGCAAGCAGCCTTGTTGATTTGAAAGTTGATCCTGGTGATGCTGCATGCCCTCCTTAGCAGTTTTGTTGTCTTGACCTCACTGCATGAGAGGGGATTTTTGTCTCCCTCTCGTTTCAGCCAGGTGCAACGGGCGAGAGAGAGGTTGACTACTTTTGGGTTTTTTACTGTGCTCACAGACAGTCAGGTTGTCAGTGTTGCTTGGCGAATACCCTTGTAGACGTCCCGCTGCTGGCGTTGTGAAAGCTGGTGTCTGGATATGTATTGAAGATGCCAGTTTTTCGTGTCACAATCGCCGTTCGGAGCGTCTTAATAAGAAGCTCTCAATTTTCTACTAGCACTTCGTTGAAACCGTTCACAACACCGCTTGAACCCCCCCCCCCCCACCCCCCCCGGGTGGGCCTGAAAACGCCCACAGGGAGTTCCGAAAACTTTCGGGGGAATTTCCCCCTGGGGGCGGGGAGGGGGGGGGATGGATTTCGGAACACCAATTAACGCGTTATGGCTGGGCGAATCCAAATACCCGGGCCCCGAAACGGGGGACCTGGGCGAAGGGGTCCCAAACCGCCCGCCCAAGGATGGGAAGGGCTTCCTCCCGGGGCAAGAATACCTCGACCGAGAGGGGGGCCCCCCCACTCCTCGGGGGGGGGGGAAAGGGGCAAGGGCAAAGGGATGGGGTCCAATTGGGGGGGGGGCCCTGGGGGCTGCCTTAAAATTCTTCCTGGAAGGCAGTCGAAAACTGTGTGGGTTGGAAAAATGGTTAAGGAATGGGGGCTGGGTTGGAATTCTTGGGGGGGAAACCGGGGGAAACACGTGTAATGGGGTTT